TGAGGTGCTGCTGTTAAGTGCTTGCAGAGTAGATTGGGAGTCTGTAAAGACAACAATATCTGATTGTGGTTGCACTCCTTCATATAATTTGTTTTCCACTGTCTGAAGTGGTATGGTAGTTGCCTCAATTTTGGCTTGGAAGTTTGAGCAGTAATCGCCACAGGGTGCGCTTATCTCAAAGTGTTTATTTTTAGGGAAGACCAGGAAGGCACCAAGACCAGCATTGATGGTAGCTTTGAAAGCCCATCCGTCTGTATAAATATGGATAGCTGTTTTTTGATAGCTTTCAATTGTTTCAAGCTTGCCTAATTTGAGCTCCAGTGGATTTGATTCTTTTGTTAAGGTGTTATTTAGTAAATGTGTTTTGATGGTTGGTTGTTTGTAGTTTAGCCCGGGTGTAATGTTTGAAAACCTGGTAATTTTTTCTCTGTTATTGGGTAGGTGGTGTTTTAGGGCTAGTTCGTCATTAAGTTGGATCAGAGTCCTTTGCTTTTTTTGGTTGTTTTTCCTATTTCTCTGTGTTAGTAATTTATTTGGACGATCGTCCTCCAACCTTCTGTATCTCTCAATAGCTTCTAATGCTGCTCTGTTGCACCTTAACTTAAGAGGTTCAATATTGGAGTCTGTTTCACAGGCTGCTGTGGGAGTAGTTTTCATACCTCCACTAATTAGCCGCAAGGCTTGGTTTTGGATTGTATCTAATAATGATTGATAGGTTTTGTTGGCAGCTACTTGTATGGAGAGACAGTTATCCATTACAGATCTGACATATCCAGTGTATAACTGTCTTAAGGTTTTCTTTTCAGCTCCCCAGGATGTTCCTGCTAGGTGTTTTATTATGTTTAATCTTTGTGATGCCTTTTCTTTTAAATCTGCCATAAAGTGTTTTAGAGACAGTCTTTGGTCTAGTTTTACACCAAGATATGTTGGATTTTCTTCTTTATTTATTGGCTGAGAGTCTATTTTTAGGATGTAGTTTCTTTTTGCTATTTTGTTGCTGTGGCTAAAGATTGAATAAACTGACTTTTCTTTGTTTATTTCCATTTTCCATAATTTTGAATATGTGGAGATAGTTGTGAGGGCTCTATTTAGTTTGGATCTAGTCAGCACTGGATATTTCTCTGTAGTCCAAATTAAAAGGTCGTCTGCATAAAGTGCCTTATTGACCGAAATGAGGTCCGGGAGGTCATTCATGAAGATTAGAAAGAGAGTGCAGCTAAGGGCTGAACCTTGTGGTAGTCCTTCTTCCAAACTTTTTTTTTACTAGAGATGGCACCTTCGAATCGGGTTTGGATGGTTCTGTTTTTTAAGAATGCCCTGATCCAGCTGTACATTTTTCCATGGATGCCCATTTTTTTCATCTTCAAAAATAGACCTTTTCTCCACACTCTATCATAGGCTTGCTGCAAATCTATAAATACTGCTGTAGTGTGCTTGTTTTCATGAAACCCTTCTACTGTGTCCTGGATAAAACGAAAGAGGTGGTCTTCTGTTCTACTTGCTTTCCTGAAGCCAGCTTGTGCATTGTGGAGTGAGCAAGTACTTTCTAGCCACCAATAAAGTCGGTTATTGATCATTTTTTCTGCCATTTTGCCAATGTTGGATGTTAGAGATATTGGTCTATAAATTTTTGGGTCTCCAGGTGGTTTATTTTTCTTTAAAATGGGTATTACGTTTGCGGTTCTCCATTCCTGTGGTATGTCTCCAGTTTTCCATGTATGGTTGATAAAGTTAAGTTTACAGTTTTGGGCCTGTGGTCCTAGTCCCCGAATCATTTCATTTGTTATTTTATCGGGTCCAGGGGATTTTCTTGACTTGAGGCTTTTTAGGGCAGTATTGAGCTCAGTATTGAGCTCATGTAGAGTGAAGGGAGTGTCAAAGATCTGACAGTTGACTGTTGGAGCTTTTTCTTCTTTCTTTAAGATATTACTGAAGGCCTGATCCAGTTGTTTTCTTGGCTTTGACTTGTTAATGCTGGTAAAATATTTATTGAAGGTTTCAGCCTTTTTAAGGTTTTCTGTTATTATGTCGTCAGTGCCTTTTATATGTTGGGGGTTTGTTATTTGTTTCTTTCCTGCTAGCCGTGCAGAAGGGTCCAGGCCTTTCGACCATCCTTGTTTAGATCTATTTGTTCGCATGTTGTGGTCCACTTTTTCTTTTTTTCTGTTTTAATTTTGTCTCTTATAAGCCCTGTCAATTTGTTGTACGTTGTCTTGTTCTATCTAGTAGGTTTATTCCTGGCCATGTTTCTTTCTTTTACTAATTTATCTAATTCAGGTGTCCAAAAAGGTTTGCATTTCTTAACTTGGCCTTGAGGGATGTGTTTTTTTTGCTGCTTGTAAGATGTTGGAGACTATAGTTGTGTAGGTTGAATTGACGTCTGTCTCAATTATGCTTGATAGTCTTGTGTCTATTTCTTGTGAAAAAGCTGCCCAGTTAGATTTATTATAGTTTCATCTAGTTGTTTTGCTGGATTGGTATCTACCTGGCGTTCCAATATTGAGGAGTATATGCCTGTGGTCACTACCTATGTCTTCAAGTACTGTTATTTTAGAATAGTCGGTAATGTCTGTAGAGATAAAAGTTAGGTCAGGTCTGCTAGTTGTGTTGTGTGCTCTGTGGAGGAAAGTTGGAGGTGAAGTTTTGTTTTGCAGAAGTTGTAGGTTAGAGGCATTTGTTACATCCTCTATTTCTTTGCCACGCTTGTTGTAGTGTGGGTTGCCTAGGGAAGGTGTGTGTGCATTGAAGTCGCCAGCTATTATTGTCCTTGTGCAGTGTGGTAGTTGTATGTCTATTTCTGCTGTTGATGATGGTGGGCAATAGTAGTTATTGATGGTGTACTTTGTTCCTCCTCTCCAAAGAAGTATTTCCTGCGTGTCGATGTCTGTAGTGGGGTTATTTATTTCTCTTGGTCATTTCCAAGCCCCGATACCCACACGGGGGAGTATCGCCACAGAGTGGAGGTTTGGAGTCAGAGTTTTTCTTCTTCTAGATGGGTTGCGTTATTTAGGCTGACGTGCCCCATCAACACGAAGCTAAACTGGTTTTGAGGCGCCAGTGTTCCGCCTTTCATCCCTTCTCCAGTCAGTTTGTAAGAACAGGTTCCGCCGGATTTTTAAGAAAATCACACGTGAAGGCCAGGAGCTGGATTTGACTGTCAGAGGCATTTAGAGACGCAAGCCATGGGAGCATTTTTTGGAAAGTGGGTGCTTATCCCCACTTTCATCCCCGGCATTGACAGTCCTTTGGAACCCAACTACACTCACCAAATTTCATGAGCGTAGCCATGGGGGGGGGGGGGGGGCTGAGTTTAAACAAAAAAACGCCAATAAAAATGTAAAGGAAAACCACAGTCTCTAAATTCCATAAATATTTCCAAGGTGGTTTTGAGATACCCCCCCCCCCCCTTTTTTTTTACACAACAAAAACTGAAGGATAAATGATAGTCACCAATTTCCATAATTGTAGCCAAAGGGGGGGGGGGGGGAGGGTACTCAGATCAGTGATGGATTGCCTAACTTTTAACTACTGATAAATTAATCATAAACGTTAAAATACTTGAAAAGTAATAATTTTTCTCCACATTGAAAAAGGTGCCGGTATGTCATAGGGGTGTGTACCGTCACAAAAAGCACTGTATATATATATATTTATATTTAGGCCTATTTATATATAGGCCTACGTTGGGGTGCCAAGGAACACAGGTTATTGCACAAAAAGAAAATTACGGGGTTTCTCTATGGTGCTTGGCTCGGGTCTAGCATCTAGTCCCAAGTGTCTAATATGGGATACCAACCACTGAAAACAGAAATGCAACAAATTTTAATCTATCTGCTGGATCCCTTTCAAACAGAACTATTGTTCAAATAGGCCAGCAGAGGGTAGCTTTCGTTGGCTTAGAGTTTCAAGAGACCTAGTCTCAACTCGTACTTTTCCAAATTTAGTGGCTACCATTTACAGGAGGTCATGACAAATGGTTCACAGACAGTGATTATTTGTTCACAACAAATGGTTCGACGAAACATTGGTAGTTCACCAGACAATTCACACAGTAGCAAAAGATTCAACAACTACTGATTCGCATAACTTTTCACAAAATAAAGTTACCATGACAAGTAATCACTGAAAATCGGTTTACAAAAAATATACTTTTTGCCTTAACAATTAAAAGTGATCGCTGAAAATCGGTTTATAATAATTAAATATACCTTTACTTACCGGCTACGCATGTTGATTAATCACAATATAGGCCTACTCTTGTTTTAAAAAATCCAAAGATCAATTCTATAAGATTCGGAAAATTAGTGCATCTTATAATCTCTTACCAAAAGATGAAGCGAAAAAGGTTGGCCTAATTAAAGCCTAGTTTTAACACTTCACACATAGGTCTAAAATTGACCCGTGATTTCTAGTATCCATGATAGGCCTACTTGAGTTTCGCTGTCTTGAAATAGGCCTATTTCATGCGCTTTATTTTGAGAGACCTCCCTATCGATTTTTTTTTTTCGCAATTCATATGTAACAGTCATCATTGTAACATTTCCCACATTTACTTTTGACCCGTGAATTCTAGTATCCCTTATGTTGAAATATTTATAGACTGTTTTTTTTTTTGGGGGGGGGGGGGAGTGGAAGCCTTATTTTTATAAAACTTCCGCACACATTCACTTGGCTCTTGAATGATAATATCCCTTTACGTTTAACTAGTCGATACTATGTGCTGTTTATTTTGGTCGGAGTCCTTTTTAAAATTTTTAAATTAAAACATTACACCATTATTATAACGTTCCTCCACACATAATTGTAATATCACTTACCTCCATCCTCCCCAGAAAAAATGTCCTACATACTATCATTGATTCTTCTGTTTTATATTTACACACGTTACTTTCCTTAATTTAAGGAGAACATGGCGATGCTGACTGCATAAGAACGCGGGGCGATTTCGCTACTTACTACAATTTAATTCAGTCAGTGGAGGGAAAGGAACCCCGTTAAAATGTGGTCATTTTTACAATTTGCGCACAATTAATGTGAAAATGCTTGATTCTCCCCTGATAGGGTAGGCCTACTGTAAAGATAGCCTAATTAGTAAGCTTACTTGTCGTCAGTGGAGGAGGCTGTCCACCCTTCCCATCAACATCAGCCGGCAGAATGGAGCAACCCCTAGGAATGTTCCATTTGACAAGCTACAACAGATGGCAAGACACACAATAAACGCCGATGGGTCGTTCATGAAGAACCCAGATAGAACACTGTATAGTGCCCTAATAGAGTACTCGGAGCGGACAGAACCAGGGCGGCTATTTGGTACATATGGCTTTCCTGGTCTGAAATAAATCCAAGTTCGTCTCAGTTTTATCGGTTATATATTGACATATTTGATTCTAAGCCTCTACCAAAACGGGAAGAGAAAAAGGCTATCATAATTAAAGCCTATTTCATAACACTTCAAACATGATCTTGTTCCGTTTTATGCAATATTTTAGTTTGCCCCTCCTATTTTGTTCACTTTAAGTGGAACAGTCCACATCAAAGCACTCCCCACACCATGAATTCCACCATTTACTCCTTCACCCGCAAAAAAAAAAAAAAAAAAAAAATAGGTACATTCAGTTTCTTAATAATTTAAAGCAAATCCATTTGGTAGTGGTCCCAGAGATCACGCAATAGATGAATGAATAAGTGTTCTTATATTTATGTGTGTGTGTAACATGTGTGGGCATTTCTCTCATTCATCCCTTGACTTATGTCATAGGGGTGCTGTGACAGTTTGCGTAACCAAATCCCTCCCTATTTCCCGATCAGCAGATGTTCTTAGATATCAAGAGTGAGGCTGGTCCATTATTTTATGTTATCCAGCCAGCTTTTCTTTGGACGACCCTTTCTTCCTGCTCCCTCCACTGTACCTCGAAGAATGACTTTTGATAGTGCGTCATGTCTTACAATAAGACAAACCAGCTTTTAGTTTCTTCACATTATTGAGTTTTTCCTTTTTTGCCAGCCAGAGTGTTGACTTTTAAAAGTACAAACTCATTTGTCTTCTTTTCCTGGTATCTGATACCCAGCATTTATCTGTAGCATTAAACCTTGTTGAATAAACAATAAAGTCTTATAAATAGTTACAAAGAGTTTATTAAAAAATAATAAATGAAAAACCATGAACATAGAGAAGCATTCAAGATGGCATTATAAAAACTTTGACAACATAAACATTTTGACTTGGCAATACACTCAACAGTATCAATGTCAGCTCATTGAGCCTATGTATATGTGCTCACCTAAGTATTCGCCTCCTCAAATATCAAAACTATGTTTTCAGTAATCATGAGATTGCTTTTACCACAAAAACAATTAAAAACAATTGCGTAATAGTCAAGTCTTTTTGAGATTGTGTAAAGTGCACAAAAACCTGTAGCATCTAATCTAACAAACAAATAGTCATATATTTCCACTTTACACATACATTGAAAAAACAACAACATAATTTAAATGATATATGTACATTGAAAAGAAAAAATGTTTTCCTAATTAAAACAATAGAGTATAGAGTTAAAATAAGTGATATTAATGAACATGTTAAAAACATGAGTGCTGCCTCTTAAGACAAGTGTATTGTGTACATCAGTAGCTAGTTGAATACAAATTTCATAAGACAAAGCAGTTTTTGAATTGAAATAACGGTTTCAAGCAGCGTTTCTCAAACTGTGGGATGCACCCCCATGGATGTCCTGGCAAGATTGATTGGAAGGGTGTGCCTGGGAAGCTGGGACAAAAAAATCTATGTCTGAATATTAACCTAGTAAAATGATTTTCATACAATCAATTATTGTATTGAAATTTATTGTTCAAATTGAATCCAATTAGCTTTTTTCTCATTTTTATCCATTTGTTTACAGAACACCATAGAAGAAACAGCAATAGATGCAAAAAATAATAAACTGGAACTAATAATCCAATGTCATTACTTTAACAAAAAAGCCCATAAAAAAAACAACACTCTTGGAACAAAACATTTTTACCCTAAAACTAGTCCAACTGACAGCATATATATATTTATAGTATTTTCTTCTAAAGTTCTTCATGTACTTAGTATATAAATATTCCTTCTAGTTGCGATATTCATGGAAGCAGTCTATGAATGTGTGGGTTCGACTTCCATCCAGCGCAAACATAAACCGTTCTCCCTGACCTACAGTGTTTACATACACTGTCTTTCTTTATAGCTATAGGTCTCCATTCTCTGAAAATGGATCTTCTTCTAGCAATTTAATCCTATGGTCAGCATAGCTATTTATTTTGCTGACAAGACTATCAACAATGTGATTGTCAATGATAAAAAACAACATTCCAGCTCAATAGATGCAGTGCTGACAAGTCTAAGTTGACAACCCAATTTCTTGATTGAAAAAATCTGAAATTGATTTGTTTCAGTGCCTAGATGATAGATCTAGAGATCTACCTCTATCTGATTAGATTTAGATCTAGATGATGTAGAGACAGCTAAACTAGTTCTAGATCTACATTGAACATTGGCTAGGGGTGGAGCTGCTTCATCACCTGATAAACTTCATCATTACTAGAACTAGATCAATAAAAAATTAATTTACTAGATCTAGATCTATATAATTAGATTTATCAATATCACCATCAGATGAAACAAAACCACTGTCATCTGAATTATTATGCTTCTTTATCAAAGAAATTTTAGATCTACAAAGTTTATATGGTCTTGGTTGAAGCTCCATGTTAAAAAAATACGCACACAGAAAAAATAAATGTAATCTCTTTACAAACTTCGTACAAAATAAAAACACGTTAAATGAAGGAAATTCGGATGTTTTGCAAAGGGAAACTATTCTAGATAAAAAATTAAGCAATAAAAAACAAGAATTGGAGAAATAGAATCGAAAAAAATAATTTGAAATAGCCGATGCCCCCAGCGGTGGTCCGACTTTTTTCCCCTTTTTTAAAATCAACGTTCTGTGCGTTGTTGCGGAGCCAAAGAGTTAACATAAAGATGATCTAATGTGCCAAATATGAACCTTCAATTGGCCATTACTGCCACATCATTTATTAGACTTAATTTGACATACATATTGGCTTGCCCCGACCCTTTTCAATTGAACCTTTTCTGACATGCGATCTAAGAGAAAAAAAAACCTTTCAGCATTCCCCCAGAACTCAATGCTAGCCGCGGGAGAAACCTGTTGCATCTCCTCTACCTTCTCCAGAAAGATTTGTTTCGAACACACAAAACACTTAAAAATTATTTACAAAACAATAATTAAAAAAAAATTAAAATAAACTGGCTAACTTTGATGAACAACATTCATTATGTAAATTTGTTTTCCAAAATTATTGTAAATATATATGCAAAGAAAAACTGAAAAATTGTGTTATAATTGTATGCCTTTAAGTTTATTCTTTTTTACCACAACCCCAGATGGCTTAGTACTGGGGGGGGGGGGGGGGGGGGTGCAAGAATGAAAGTTTTATTCCACTAGGCTTGTGCTACTGATAAAAGTTTGAGAATCAAACATTGGTTTAAAAGAAGAAGGGTTCATAAAGAAGATTATGGAATTTTCATATACAATGTAGAACAAATATTAAAACTTTAATTTAAAAATCTTTCTGTACTTAGATTAAAGTAACCTAGGTTTTAAAAAGACTTTCCTTAAATTTATTTTCTGTATCATTTTTTTGTTATGTTTTTAATAAAAGACAACAAAAATCTCTAAAATAACAAGGATTTTTGTTTAAATGCCATATTCATAATAATTTAAGAATTAAAAAAAAAATATTTTGAAAATAAAATATAATGCCCCACATTTTTTCTACTTGAAACTATTGTTTTCAATTAGGTTAACACAATATTATCCTATTCCCCATAGGGCCCAGAGTAGAATGAATTTAGCTAACTGGGCATTTAAAGATCATCAAATGGTACAGCTCTGGCAATGTTCAGAGCATCTTTCAACATAAAGTCACGTAGTGCCCACAATGCACTTGTAATGCTGCCATGACACCCCGCTCCCTGAGCCAACCATTGCCCGGGAAGGTTAGCCTCTGGTACAGCAGGTGTGTTGTCCTGTGTGGCTGACAATGTTTTCTCCCAGTTGGAGATGTAGTGAGAATCTGAAGTTAAACTCTCTATGTATCTGTAAAAAGAATACAATGATGGTTATTTCATTTGGTTTTAAGTTGTAACAGATCTTTAAAAAGTACATTTGAACATAAATAGCTGAAGATTTGAGATAAAATACAGCTCAGGATTGTAAAGCAAAGAGAAGAAATAATCTTGGCATGTCAAACATTAGTTAATATCATTTAACCCAAAAACCAGTACAATGGGATAGAAAGTTGCTAGCAGTTTTTTAAAACTTTGTATAAGAAGTCTCAGTCAGAATGAAATTCTTAACTTTTTTCAAATAAAAACTGGATCTGTATAGCTTTTTCTTTCTAAGCTGAAAATCTTTTTAAACGATAGCATGGATATCAAAGTAAATAGAGCCAGCTTGGGAAGTTTAGTATATTAAAAACGTTTTGTTCTATTTTAAAAATATTTGGAAATTTTTTAAAATTTTGAATTAGACATTGTTCTGTGTTGTTGTTTTTTTTGGCATGACTTATTAAAACCTTAAATATTGAGAGTTAAGAATAAAAAGAGTGTTATTCCTAGCATTACATAACAGATTTCAATCTTTCAAAGTGGATTACTCCCACTCCTTCCCCCTTTTAAAACTCATTTTTCAATGCTTGCCTCTGACAGTAATAGACAGGATTTATAAAAAAAATTCCAGAGAAGCCCTTGTAATGTCCCATATTTTATCAATCAATTAGGTTCATACAATATTATCCTTACTTAATCATCACCCCCCATCACTCTTAATATTAGTAGTTTTATTAGTATATTTAACCTGAAGTAAGTTTCAGAGTGCATCAGCTTGTGTGTTCTAGGAGGGACAGATACAAACATTGGCGAGGGTGGGCACTGTTGTGTAGTTGCTTGTTGACCTGAAATAAAGTAGAGGGTACTTTTAGGACTAACATCATCTATGACAATCATAAGTATAGAGTAACTCATTCTTTGGGAGGTGCAGTGGCTGAGTGGTAAAACACTTAGTTTCTAAAATGAGGATCCTTGTTTCAAATCCTGGTAAAGATGGGGATTTTTAATTTCTGGATCTTTAGGGCACCTCTGAGTCCACCCAACTCTAATGGGTACCTAACATTAGTTGGGGA